CAAAATAGTATTAGCAGGTTCGACAGTCTTTGCCTGCTTTTTTTTTTTCCAAATGGTTACTGCTGAAGTCTTATTGTAATGACCATTTCTAGGTCTTTTGGAAGATGATCCATCATCGAAAAATGCTTCATTGATGTTTTTTGGTGTGGCAATACGCTCCGTATGGTTGAGAAGGTCGTTGGTATCCTCTTCCCAGACAATCTAATCTTTTTCAACAGTTTCAGCTGTTTGTTCAATAGCCATAATTTTACCAATTGTATCTCTTAATCTATTGCGATTTGCTAAAGTTCTTTTACTAGGTGCAGGCATTTTGATGTAGTATGTAGTACAATAAAATAAAAAAGGTTTTTTTCTGGTCAAGAAAGTTAAACGCGAGTTTTGCCGAGTCGCAGTATAAATAATATCAAAACCCTGTTTTACATCATGTTCAAAATGTTAGTATATGACATAAAAAGCTACTTGAAGTCTCCCCAAATAATGTTAATATATGTTTTAACAACATTTCACGAGTTTTTTTTTTTGATATCTTTATTTTTGGAGCTTCTGAAGGCTCTGCAATGATTGATAACCATAGACGTCTCATAATTTGTCCAATGATTATTGATTTTGAGTTTAAAATAGACGGATAACAAGAATGTCACTTTTTTACGAACAACGTATAATAAGAATGTTTGAAGAACCCCAAATAATATTAATGTATGTTTTATTAGTATGTATGTACTTTGGGTTTTTTGATCCGATAATTTTTCGAGCTTCTGAAGATCATTCAAGACTGACATTCAGGCCTGGTTTTGTTTACCCAGGGAAAAAATTAAGACTACGCCTCTCTTATAAATACCGAGAAAGTAACAATGCATTTGCAACCAAATTGAAAAGGAAAGTAGTAATCCAATTCCCCAAATATCGTTCCTAAAAACATAAATATTATTGACCTTCTTTTCGTTTTCAAATATATTTATTTTTAAGCCTTCCGAACGTCTTTGAATATCTTTTCGAAATTAATTCGATTGTTATGACTAAAGCCGGAAATTCAAAAGAATTTGACAGAAAATACTAGAAACTTAGTAACTGTAGGCGCTATATTATTCGTTGTTGTATGTTACACTAACTGGGATCGGTATTTAAATTATTAACACACATAGACCATATTCTTTCAATATTTCCCCCCTACAGCCAAGTCCCAGCCAAAAAATTAAAAACCGACCAACTTTGAGAGTCTTCAGACGACTCAAAATTAAAGATGTCTAAAATTTTGGAACATTTAAGTCCGACCGCACGTTAATAAAATCGAAAGAATAAAATTTGTCACAAAAGCATCAGTTTCTTTATTTTAATTATTTAGCAATCTGGTTCTCCCCAAAAATTAATAGTTATGATGTTCGATAATGACAACTAGTACGAGCTATTGGCGCTTTTATTTTTAATGATTATCCTACTATTCTTCAATTTTAAATAGTTGATTGCACTCGATTGGAATTAGATTCTGTACTTTTTCAAGTTTAGGTGTGTTTTGCACATTAAGGCTTGAGTGTTTTGTTGTCATGAGTTTTTTCCGAATTTTGGATTAAGAGCTGAGTTGCCTGTTATCCGTGGCGTACTAGTTAGCTTATTTAGACATATTTTTTTATTCTTTTGAAAGGAACTTTATCATATTTGCCTCTAGGCCGCTACTTTTTTTTCCAGTAATGTAATTAACTTCTCTAAGTTTTTGTATTAGTTTGTTTCCCTTACGTATGTAATGTTATCCCGAGAGAAGTGCCAAAGAGACGTTAATTCGAATTCTTTAACACATTAACAGGCACTTTAATAAGTTACTATGTAAACATAAGCCATATCAATAGTGACTATCTGTAGAATAAATTGTTAGCTTTTTGCTTTGTGTCATTGGATGTTCTAATTAACTATCTCACGTTAGGTTTCACCCGATAAGCAAATCCAACATTTTTACACGCAGTAGCTGTTATAGAAGCCGTACGTAATACTGTTATTTCCTGTATACAAATCATTGCAACTTGTATACAGTTAGTATTGTAGAGTCCGTTCTATGTGTTGGTTTATCTGGCAAAGATATTATTTTGAAATGCTAAAACTCAGTCCGACTATTATTGCTTCTATCTTGATGTATCAATTTAGTATGTTGGTTTATATAGTTTTATATGCTAAAAAAAACTGAAACAAGAATATGCGTTTATAAAAATTCAAAAGCTTGATTGCATAGAAGATATTTACTAATCAAATTTTGCTATAACTAGAGCTTTGTAGTTGGCGATTCCTGTTATTTGTTCCTCGTGGACAGGGTAGAAATGATTTAACTCACTGAAAACGTGTTGAAGTTTGTACAAAGTTTTTTTTTTTACAAAACTTGAGTCCACTGTAAAAGCGTCAATAGTATAAAAAAAAAACCAGGTATAGATCAGGTTAAAGATTAACGTAATAAAATAATACTGTATTTAATCCCCAATGTTACAAGGCGTGTACAATAAATTGTCTTCCTTTTTTATTTCTGAATTTCTGAATTTCATAATGCAGAACATTTTTTTTTGTTGTATTTCGATTGAAGATATTAACTTTCCAGAAATGTTGAAAACATTTCCTATACTTGGGCTTCTTTGCTGTGTGATATAAATGGGTACACAAAACATTTCCATATATGTCGAGTTAACGAACTCATTTTTGATCTTTGTATTGAGCTGAAACTTTGCTTATATATTTAAAAAAGCATCAATAAGACCTGGTATAAGTCCCAAAGTATATAGGTCAAAACCTGTTGATATATACAAGAACATTAAAATTTGGTCGCCGTATATAGAAGATATACAGATGACCATATAAGGCGAGTAAATTTTGACCCCTTGGGATTAAGATAATATTAAGTGTCATTGCGTATCATGCTCTGAACAGGCCGTAGTTTTAGTTACAGGTGAATCCTGTAAAAACTGGGGCTTTATTCCAACTTTTTATTTTTCTTTAAATTTTACTCGACATAGATGGAAGGTATACAAAGCTTAAAAAAGAACTAGTACTTCCTTCGGAAGTACAAAACTCTATAAAAGGTGATTTTGCAAGCAGGGAGGTTACGAACAACTTACTAAATGTTTAAAAGTATAGTACAATCCCATAGGCGGAATATTCGGTTACTGAATATTACACGCACTAAACTTTCTCTTTGGCATTTATTTAAGGGAATTGTTATTTTCACCCCCTCGATTTTTTTTGGCCTTTTTTGACCTATGAAACTGCGGATTTGATTTCACTTAAATTTTGACATTTTGGCGGGACTGCTCTGTCAAAGCATTAATAAATTGTACCTTTTTACTTTCATCCCAATCCCGTTACGTTTATCTGAACTTTTTATTGTTTCAATGTCTTTATCAAACGAAAACACCTCTCACCTTTCTGACGATGATTTTCAGGAGCCCCTTCCCTTTCGAACCAGAAGAAATTTTGAAAGCGTCAACGATGTAGATGATCTTAACGATGATCTCGACAATGATCTCGACGAAGATCTCGATGACGAAACCTTAGACGTTTCGTCTACTTCTACCCCTTCTCAACTTGTGTTTAGCTCTAGCGAAACTCTCGAAAAGTATGTGATCGATCACTGCAAAGAGAACGGCTACCTTGTTTCTTTGGGCTGTTCTCGTTACTACTCCGATCGTCGCCTTAAGTCTTTGGAGTTCAAGTGCGATCGCGGTGGAAAAAACAGCAGTAAGTCCACCGGTAAAAGACTTTCGAAGACAAGACGCACCGATTGCCCTTTCAAGTGGGTGGTCGGTTCCAGTTGGAGAAAAGAGCAGGGTATTTATACTGCAAAATTCACCCTCCACTTAAACCATAGTGGACATAATCATGAGTCTGCCAATTCTCTCGCTGGTCATTCCATTGCATGCAAGATTGGAGAGGATCACATGAAGGTGATCAAGGATACGACGATTGCTAATAGCTCTCCTCAAGATATCTTGATTTACCTTCGCCAAAAATTCCCTGGTGATTATTTCAGACCTAGTACGGTTTACAATGCCAGACAGAAGATTCGTGAAGAGTATTTAGATGGTCGCTCTCCTTTGCAAGCTCTCTTGGTTCAGTTCTCTGAAGCCGACTCTGGATTCATTTACGCGTACAACTCGAATGAGGACGGTACCATCAAAAACCTTTTTTTTGCGCACTCTCATTCCTTGGAAATGGTTGAGCGTTTCCCTCAAGTGCTTTTGATGGATTGCACGTACAAAACCAACAAATTTGGTATGCCATTGTTGCACGTTGTTGGCATTGATTGCTTCAATAAGACATTTTTTGTGTGCGGTGTTTTTTTGAAAGACGAAACCCAAGCCAATTATGAGTGGGCGGTTTCAACATTACGAATGAAGTTGTTTTGGTGCTATGTAGAGCCATTCGATCCTAGCATCATTGCTATTGACCGTGATTTGGCGTTAAAAGGTGCTTTGGAGACAATTTTTGATTCCAGCACAATTCTTATCTGCCGTTGGCATATCAACAAGAACGTGTTGGCCAAATGCAAAAAGTATTTTTTAACAGATGATGACTGGAACGAGTTTATGGTCAGATGGAATTGATGTATGAACAGTTTCAATGAAGAAGAATGGGAGAGAAACTGGAGTGTACTGAGAGATAATTACGGGTTGAACGCAAGATACCTCCCACTGTTTGCGTATCTTGAATCAACATGGTTGCCGTTGAAAGAGCATTTTGCTAACCCTTGGGTCAACAAGCACCTCCACCTTGGCGCCATCAATACCTCCAGGGTTGAAGGTGCTCATAACAAGTTGAAGCAAAGACTCAAGGTATCAACTAGTCATTTAGACAAGGTGGCAAACTTGGTGAAGAGTACAGTTGAAGTCGATGCCAGCGAATTTAAAGCTCGTTTGGAGGACCAAAAAATCAAGGTTATCACCGAGGTTGAAAAACGAAGCATGATGACAAGAGTTATAAGAGGAGTGTCCTTATACGCTTTGGCCGAAGCTCTTGAACAAGTCAAAAAAATGGAGAATTCTGCATTGCAACCTCTGTTGGACTGTACGAATACATACACGCTGACAACTGGCATTCCATGCGTACACAGGATCAAAGCCCTTCACGAGCAACGCCAAGTTCTTCAAGTTGATGATTTTCATCAACAATGGAGACTTGAGCATTCTCCTAGCATTGAGCAGTTGGAAGAATTGGATCCAGAAAGCAATTTGGACTACCTCGTTGACTTGCTGCGTACCCGTTTTAGAAACGCAGCTCGTTACGAACAAGAGGAAATGGTATCGCGTCTTTTTGACCTGGTTCATTCGCCGTTGGTACCTATAGAGCCACGAAACGATGCCAGGTCAAGAGGAAGACCTACCGGTTCTACTGCGAGAAGAAATGACACTTCGTCAAACAGAAGAAATCCCTCCGCTTTTGAACATGCTGAAAGAAGAACAAGGCTTTGTGGAACTTGTAGACAGCCGGGACATGACACAAGACAATGTTCTCAAAGAGTCATGTCCCAAGCTACTCGCTCATCTCAACAATCTCAGCAACAGCAACAAACACAATGACCATCTTGATCGCCTATTCTTATTTTTTTCTTTCAACTTTATTTTTTATCTTTTATTTTTTCTATCACATAAAAAATCTCAAAATCTCAATCGTAATTTTTCTAAAAATTTCTTGTGTGTAATAGGCCAAAAAAAATCGAGGGGGTGAAAATAACAATTCCCTTATTTAATGTCATCTGCGGAGATGAATTTAGATCCTCACGTACTTTCGTCTTTACTTTGTAAAGCAGGAATTACTTCATAACATATTTATTTAAACAGACATTACGTATAACATTATATCATGTTCGCCTAACGCGTCACATATATTATCCGAAAGCCATCTAATCATTTAGTATAAATACCTGTAATTTTTGCTAGTAGAATTCCCTAATCTAAATTTTCTCAAAATAAAAGATATATGTAATGAACCACGTACTTTGCACTTTGCCCCTGACCACGAATATCCGACTATTGGAATGTTCTGGAATCTCATGCTGAGATTCAACAACCCCAGTGTCCGGAACCTTCTAGGACCTTCCAAGACTATCCACGCAATGAACCTCCGCTTCCAAGAGATTAGTGATCATGACTCGTTTCCAAGTATCTCCGACGCCAAGCAATTAGTAATCATGGCTCATGGGTTTCGGCCACGTAAGCTGAAACCAACACTAATACTAATTAAGTAAGCGAAGACATTCTTAAACGCAAACCCATGTTATCTGAAAAGATATAAATACTCCCCCTCTCCATCGCCTTCCCCGTTCCATGTCGATTATCTTATATCCCCTGTATCCCTTGTATCTCTTGTATTCTTCCCCTTCCCTGTATAATCTCTTTTATTATTAAATACTTTGTAAACCTCTCTTCCTTTGTCTTTGTATAACTAGTAGGTATCTTCTGATATTATTGCTATAATATATTCCTAGCCACGTTCCTGACAATATACACAGTTCTAACAGTATTTTCTTTTTTTACCTTAATATACATTTTATATCCATCCCAAACAGATACATACCTTGTGTTATTCCGTCCGACATTAAATATTGTTTACGTCATTCTTCACAAACACGTTCATCAGTGTTCCCATAATGTCGTCTGAGAGTTGACTGACAGACCATAACATAATCTGCGTCCGCCGTGCACTTATCACAGAAGCATGTCCGTTTTGGAGGGGCCATGTTTAGTGCTGATGAGAAAAATAGATAAAATGTATAAATGTGTAAAAGGGGGTTAAAAATGTGAGCACTTTGAAATATAATTTATACAGTATTATCACTTTAAATTCAGACAAACGAAAATTATTTTCAGACAAGCTCAAAAAAAAATTCAGACTAAAAAAAATATTTTCAGACAAACTAAAAAATTATTCAGACAAAGAGAAATTATTTTCAGAAATATGATAACAAAAATTCAGACAAGTAAAAGTTTAAACTAGTTTTAATTCTTTGTTAAGGCAGTTATCCCAGTACGTTTCAGAGTGTCGTATCCAACCATTACAATCTTCCGTGGTAATAGTCTCACAGGCTCAATCTGTTCCATTTTATTAAGAATTTTTAAGCCTTTTTTTTTATATATCAGAACCAATTTTATTTTTGTAAATAAACCTATTTTATTTCGGACTTTGAAGCAATTTTTTTTCTCTCAATGAGCCCAATTTTTTTCGAAAAGTGCGCAAATAATTTCGGGAAATAGTGTAGTATAATTCATATTTGTAATAAAATCATCTTTTGATCTCCTAACTAAATATCTTGTAACTTGGATCGTGTACTATAAGTCTCACGACACAGTCACGACAAAACAAAAAACAAAAGGAAAGGTCGTCGCCTGCAGGATTTGAACCTGCGCACGCAGAGCGTATATGATTTCTAGTCATACTCCTTAACCACTCGGACAAAGCGACCCGACACACTCTTTCCGCTATAGAATCTAACTACTAAATTTGAAACTCAGCCCAAAAAGGAAATTTTCTAGAACAATCCATCCATCTACAAAAAGTACATCGTTAGATTCAACAATACATCTGGAGTATACATCTGAAAACCCCAAAGTCGTATTACCTTTACACTATTTTCATAAATTATTTGCACACTCTAGGAAAAAAATTGCTCACTTTTTTTTTCAATTTCCGCACACTTTTTTATTTTTTTTTTGCTCACTTCACAAATTTTTTTTTGCTCACTTTTTGAAAAAAAAATTGCTCACTTCAAGGAATCTTTTTTGCGCAGTGTGTGCGAATTATTTTAAAGGGGATTTTTATTTAAACAAGTTTCGAACTTGGACTCAGAATACCGGCAAAAGCCTTTCAAGTCGCTTATCAAGATATTTTGGCATGCTTCAGTGATTCTGGTGTTCAAAGTTTCGGCCTCCAACAGTTTTTCACGTTTCAATTTACTCTTAACAACAGACCAAAACTGCTCAATAGGGTTTAGCTCAGGGGAATAAGGTGGTAGATACACACACCCATACCCACGACTTTCGATAAACTTTCTAATATTATCGGATGTATGTATGGGCGCATTATCCATAATAATGTAGTGCCCTTTGAATTCCTCATGACGATCCATCACATCGATAGTGCTGGCAATAAAATAGAAGTAATGTCCTGTAACAGTACCAATACTTTTCTGCATTTTACTACCACCAACCGTCTTTCGTTTCTTAGAAGCTGCTGAATAGGGTACCCTAATCTTGACATTGACAATGCCATACGGGGATATAGCACCCAAAATTGTCGTAGTCTTCGCTCGTGTCAGTGGTTGGATAACCTCAGCTCGAGTGCCTTTTTTGGACCAAGCCATTGTTCGCTTCAAATTGATGTGAAAGGCAGACTCGTCGATGAAAACACAATTACTATTGTAATCCATGTCGGTTTGAATCCATCTTGTAACCCAGTCAAATCTTTTCTCAATGCTTACGGGCGAGTTTCTTTCTTTTGAATGAAAGTGTGCCTTTTTAAATGACAAGGCACACTTCTCTGTCATGAAGTTGTAAACAGTTGTCTTGGTTACTTTCAACTCACTGAACTGGCTGGTAAGACTTTCTATTGCCTGATCCAAAGTTGCAGAAGGGTGATCGATAAACGTTTCTTCTAAATGTTTTTTATGCTCTTCATTCAATAAAGCAGGTCTACCAACTTTCTTTTCGGATTTTTTGGTCTCCAATCCATCCCGCGTTTCAACAATCAAATCTTGGTCTTTTTTCAACCAGTCGTAGGCGGTTCTACGGGCAATACCTAACTGCTTTCCTGCTTTACCTGCCGTTAGGCCTTCTTCATAAACAAGGTAGAAAAAATGACCTTTGACATCGTCTCCATGTTTCTTGTAATAAGAAATTGGTCCTGATGTAGCAGTAGAAACCATCTTATTGGTTTTAATTGAGGCCTCGGGCTTTTCAGGTGGTTTAAATTCCATATAGCTATCGAAGTCAACAGTGTCAGCGAGTGGGTAACCGTCCACGTCTACTTCCATTTCAACCGGTTCATTTCCATGCTCATCTACAGCGTTTCCATGTCCATCTTCCTGAAAAATACGAAGGTCCATTGGTTATATTTATTTTCAAAATTTGTGCGAAATGTAAAAGTTAAAGTGAGCAATTTGTTTTTCAAAAAGTGAGCAAAAAATAATTTGTGAAGTGAGCAAAAAATAAATAAAAAAGTGTGCGGAAATTGAAAAAAAAAGTGAGCAATTTTTTTCTTAGAGTGTGCAAATAATTTATGAAAATAGTGTACATCTGAAGATATCCAATTTCCAAGTTTTTCGACATCTTGGACATTCGCTACATTTAAAGATGAACAACAATGTTGAAGCCCTCCTGCAGGACCTCAGCTCCGCCATCTCGAATTTAAACTCAAAATTCGACGCCACCTCAGCCCGGTATGAAACCGTGATCCAGGAACTCCGGTCCGAAAACCAACGCCTCAGCGCTGAGATGTCTCGCATTCAGGCCATTCTCAAGACCATCCAAGGTGCTACTACCAGTAGTGCTATGGACATTGACACTGCTGCTACCCCAAGTGCCCCACGTACACCAGGTACTAACGCTAGCAAATATGCTACTGCCACTCCCATTACCGTTCCCAACAATGATAATTCCACCAGCGTACCTGAAGTACCTACCCCTCGTTCTCATGTGAAACATACGGATAAGCCAGGCAATAGCTGGGTACAAGTCGCTAAGCGCAAATCCGAAGCTCCCCTCTCCGATCACAAGCGATCTGCTACTGCCCGGGCCTTTACTGCCCCTCGTGATGTAACCGCTCCTTCTGGTTATGCATATGTGTACATTCCACGTTCACGTAATCTTAATCGTCGTGATGTTCGTCACCGATTTGCATTATTGGGTATTGAAACTGCCCGTGTGATTGATATCTCCTTCCCTGCTCGATCTGTCATTGGTATCTTGATTCACCAAGAATACCTCAGCACTTTCACAGCTGTCCTTGCTGACTGTAAAGTCAAATTTATTGAGGATTTTAACCCTACTGACGCCACTCATGTCGCTGATCCCAAGTACGCAGATATGCCAGCCCCACAACGCTCACGCCTTGCTGCTGCCCTACAACAGGATAGATGCTACACCACGCTTAACTTTGTTAGAGAATACTTGGTCCCAAGCGTTAGTAAATTTTTTGTTGAACAAGGATGGATTAGTGACGCTCTGGCCCAGAGCGTAGTACATCAAAGACTCCCTCGACCCATCAAAAAATCTTGTGACGAAAGTTACCGTGGTTTTGCTGCCGAAGCCTTCTTGAATGCCACCGGTGATGGTGATGCTGAAATGGGCGAAGAATTTTGTGAAAATGCATATGGAACGGATACCGACAGTGACGAAGAAACACCTGGCTCTCCTCCATCGACTCAACCTGAACAAACGTCTCATCAACGTAGTTCTCAATGAGTGAGGAACCTACCAGTAACAATATAACCATCGGTCTCTGGAACGCCAATGGTTTAACCGCAACCAAAGTTTCAGAACTCCTCTCCCTTTGTCACTCATTTACCGTCATCTTCATTACTAAA